CCACCTGAAATTATAGAGGAGCCCAAAATATCTAGCCCGTCTGCCCCAATCATTCCTTCATCACCCATCCGCCACACTCTTTCTCCTGCCATCCCATCATGTTCTCCTCTCCACCCTGAAGGTGAAGTGTCTCTACAAAGTCCAGCTAATTCTGTTGACCATAATAGATCCCCAGAATCTTCCGTTCCACACTCCCCTATACCGAGCACCCCTCCACATGCCCCTGCACCTCCGTCCCCCACTACACCAGTACCCTCCCCATTGCCACCGGACTCCCCTCTGGAGCCGCCATGTGCCCCAGCTCCTGTCACTCCAACCTCACCAGGATCTCCAGCCTCCCCTCCTTCTCCCTCCTCTATAGGATCTCCCACTCCTCTCCATTCTCCATCTTCTCCGAACTCTGAGATTCCAGTAGACCACATTCAACCTTCAGCTTCTCCTCAGCCACTGGATCTGGAGGAAGACCAGTCGTGTCACTTGCCATCTGCTGAAGAACCAATGCCTGTGCCTGAGACACCCTTACTCTCTACAGTTTCTAGTCACCACAGCCCTGATGTCCAGGAGAGAAAAAGTCAGCATTGTGAACCTGTTGTAAAAGAGCTTGTTCAGGATCAACAGCAGTCTCAGTCTCAGCCCCAGCCACAACCTCAGTCCCAACCTCAGCCTCAGCCACAACCACAACCTCAGCCACAACCTCAGCCTCAGTGTTTGCCCCAAGCTCAGTCAGAGTCTCAACCACAGCCAGAGACACATTCACAACCAGAGCCACAGACAGAAAAACAACAGACATCACAGTTGCAGACCCAAGAACAAGGGCAAGGGGATGGTCCTGGAGAAGAAGAAGGCCATGCAAGTGAGCCACGTGTCCAGGCTGCTGTACCTGGAGTTCCGGATACCCTGAGTGCTGCTGGCCGTCAGGAAGAGAACCTGGCATCCCAGATGGAGCAAACATATGAACCTGCTGATGCCACCAAAGTTGATAATCATCCCACGGGACAAGAGGCTGCTCACACCCATGATCTAGCACTGGAAGTTGGAGAGGGGCCAAAGGTGACAAGTTCTGCTGGAAGCACTCCTCCATCCTCTTGTGGGTCTACCAACACTACGTCAGTGATAACAAGGCAGGCACCCACACCCACCCCACCACACCAACAGGAAGTTAGTAGTATGGGTGTTTACACACCTGATTCTACAACAAATTCGGTCCACTCAATGCACGGTTATTCACAGGGTGAGTTTGATGTGTCTCAACTTGGAATTGAGTCACCGACTTCTATATCCAGCAATGAGATGGCTCACTCAGTAGAAGCCCCTCAGCAAGCCTCCACACCCCAGAGTTATAGTGACTGTGCACAAGTATCCAACCAGCAGGTCCAGCCCCCAACACCCACACATGTTCAGCCCACAACACCAACTCATGTACAGCCATCAACCCCAACACACACACAACCCACAACACCAACCCCACCACACATAGCCCGGACAACACCAACCCCAACTCCAATTTTACCCCAGCCTGTTCCACAGCCCCAGCCTCAACCTCAAACCCATTCGCAGACACAGACGCAACCCATTATTACACAGTCTACTTCTCAGATCATCCCAGCCATTGGTGTAGTATCCCTACCACATACTCAACCACATCAAGCCCCAACAAAACACCAACCTTCAAAACAGAGGCATATTCAGCCAAAACCACCAGCACAACCCCAGGTCCAGATCTCATCTTCAGGATCTCGACCACCTTCAAATCTAGGAACTCAGTTATCACCTCAGTCTGCAATGGCTGCTATGCATGCCTCCAGTCAGGCTCATATGATGTCGCAGCGGATGGTTGCTGGGACACCACACCCGCCCTCAGGCCTGAGTCAGCACCACCCTATGTCCCACCATCCTCATGCTGCACATCCTCCACACCCTCCACGCACACCACATGTAACACATTCACACTCTCAAATGCAGAATTTCACTCATCATCCAAATTACATGATGGGACCACACCAGCAGATGTTGGGTCACCACACTTCCATGAGTTACTTGGCCCAGCCAACTGTAACAACTTATGCCCAAGCTCACACTCCTGCTCACTCCTCGTCTTACATGACTTCTGTTATCCAGTCCCGCATGGGCGGCCCTCAGCAACCTCCCAGTCAAAATGCCTCGTCCTCTTCTACCTCCAGTACTCAACGTGCAACACATGGGGCTAGCTCTTCTGGTGTATGTGGGCCATCACCCAGCAATTATCACTTCCTAAACTCCAGTCCCCCTGGGCCATCCCCAACGCCAACACCCATGGGGAGTGGCCAACATCATGCTGGAGGAGTACAAGCAAGTGCATCATCATGTAGTATAGCACGGTTACAGCAACTCACAAATGGGATAATGGATATTGTTCCTCAACCTCCCTGTGCAGGTGTGACGCCTCCACCCTCTCACACTGTCACACCTCCTCCGTCTCACACAGTAACCCCGCCTCCTGCAGCAGCAGCAGCTGCTGCGGCAGCCCAGCGCAACATGACACCTCCCATCTCAAATTTACAATCCCAGGTGCCATTGTCGTATAAGTATAAATCCCACCAAGCAGCAGCTGCAGCACAGATGTCCTCCAACATGATGGCTCCTGCGATGTTGGGATACCAAGTAAATGGATATCGCATGCCTGGCCAAGCGGGGGCAATGTCAGCCCTCAATCCTTCGTACCTGACCAACCCTTCATTTATGAATCAGCAGCTACCAATGCAGATGATGAATATGCACCCGCAGGCCGCGGGCCAGTACCAAGACCCTCGCACCCAGCCCCAGAACACCATGTACCCACCATATTCGTATATGTCCCCACTGCAGCTCAATGGCACCATGCGGCGGTAGTCCCTCACTTAAAGTTTCAGTATTTACTCAATGGTGCTTATAAAAGAGTGGCAGTGCAAGTGCAAAATTAGTGTTCAGTGCTGGTTCAATTTGAGGAGAGAAACATATGCAAGACTAGGCAATATTTTGACTAGTGAACCACAGTGTCAAGGGTTATAACGAAAGGAATGATTGAAAAAAAACTTTAGTGACAAGGAACCCTGGCATCTGTACCACTTAAATTACACAGATTTTTTAGTGAAAACTTTCATATTTTTGGGCCTGTTGTGAGAGCTATATTTTAGATACTTATTTATGGTGTTTATACACGGTTCAAAATAACGACATAGCCAGTTTACTTGGACTTGGTAACTGTGGTGGCTAAGTCCATAATTTAAGGACTCCATATCAAGTGGAGAAGACAATTGTGAAGAAGCTTATGTCTTCAGATATATATATAAAAAAAATATATATATATAAATATATATATATCTTAGTGTGAACTGGTATTCTGAGTTCATGGTTATGGACTCGAGTTAAACCTGATTTTCATCTAAGTACAAAGTGATCTTAAATAATCAATTCATTGACAGAAAAGTGTGCTTAATTGTTATAGAGCAGTGTTATCTAAGTTTATTTTAGTGATGAGGAAAAGTCTTAGTCTTTTACGTTGTGATACTGATCTTGGTGAGAGGCCAAAGTCAGCCTAAGATTTTAGTAAGGATGGGATGGTTGCATTTGAAGCCCCTTTTTCCCGAGGGATGATCATTACTTGGGTATTTATGTACAACATGTCAGTCAAGAGATATGTCGTGGCTTGGATCTGGCTGTAGAGCACAATGAAGTCATTTTTGTGGTTAGTTTTGTATCCAGCTGTAGAGAGGCTTTTTGTTTGTATTTATTGTGTAGGGGAACAGATGTTTGAACAGTACATATGTGGCTCTCCAGTTGAGATATGTTTTCCAGCATTTTTTTTGCCTTTGTACCCAGTGTATTTTCTTTCCTTTTTTCCAGTTCTTTCCTTTTTTAAGGGAAAAATATTTTTACATACAACTGAGTTTTTCTCATTGGTACGAGTGCTTTAGTTACTCTGATTCTTGAACATGTTCCAGTAGGAATTGGAATGTCTGTTTTTTGTTTCAGAAAACTGAAATAGTATTATCTGACCTCTGTTTATTAGCTACTTTATTTTAGTCATATTTAATTATGCAGTAAGGTCGGCATAACCTCCTGAGTTCTTACAGACAGTAACACTTGATTTTTATTTTATTATGAGAATTATTTTTATCATATTTACACACTAGCTTCAATTCATCACACAGGAAAGAATGCTCTTCTGTGTAATGTAGACTGTCCTTTTCAGAGTCCGAAGAAATTATACATATTGGTGTTTCAAAAAGTTTGACAAACTTGTATACTCTTAAGAGCCTGACAACAGACATACGTATTTGTTGGTGATCCATAATTTGATATTTGATCATTTAAAAATAAATTGTGGTGGGTAAGAATAACGCAAGATGTGAATTTGACCTGATAGGAATGTCAATAATTGCTTAAAAAAAAATGAAATACCAAGGACAGTATTTAAGGACAAATTAGATAGAGGCGATGGATCAGTTTGATGGTATGATTGAGCAAAGACGCAGGCCTCCACAAGGGGGTCTCCAGGTTGGGACTCACGTTGAACTGAGCATGTCGTTTACCATGTTGAGCCATAAATCGATTCTGTGGCACAGTGAGGAACACAGGCGCAATTTGAATCGGTGTATAGTGAGACCTAATAGGGACTGATATACTATAGCTGGGTACAATTAATATTGCTTTTGCAATAATAGTTAACATAAAATAACTTTATTAGAATATAAACATATATGGATGTTGTGCTTCCCTTTTCTCTTAAGTATATGTTGGTTTCCTGATACCTTATTGTAAAATGATGAGAGCAACTGAGATGAGTTACACTGGGATCTGACATTAGCAGAAGAAATTATTTACATAAAGAAAATAATGTGGATATAAAAACACACCACACA